AATACAGTTCCAAGTCGATGGATGTTTCGAGATGGGATATCGAATAATCCATAAAAAATTTGTACATAGTTTGTACGCTTGTTGGACAAGAATGTTGCATTCCATCAACATTAGCGTAAGACGTAAGTACATTTATGTGGGTGCTTGTTAGAGAACAAGTTCACTGAACATGACCGTATGAAAATTCTTAATGAAGAATTTATTCAGTCGAATAAGAATTTTCATGTTACAATAGTACATGACTAATCCTAAGACTTGAGGCACAATGGGAACTTTGTGCATATTACATTCTACTTTGATTTATCTTTTTGGTAGCTAACACTATCGTTTAAAGGGATAAGTTGGGTATTATGTTAATATGTATGGAAGTTTGTTAGTGGCCAATAAAGGATTCGACACTTATGAAGATAAGTGAATTTCCTATGTGTTTCATAGTTATTAATCCAAAGTCCTTGGCCAAGGCAGAGATGAATAGTGATTCATAACAGGGTTAATAAACTTGAAATAGAATCATAGTTATTAAGTCAATTTGGGTTTCGACAAAATCATACCCAAGACTTAATCGGGAAATTAGATGTCGAAAGGATTTTACATGTATGGAGTTGTAATCGGAATAGGTTTACTCGCTATTCACTTAATACTAGATTCATGCTACTTGCTAGGTGTTCCCATGATATGTGGGTTCTTGAATTAAAGGGTTAATTCATGAATAAGAGTTAATGTGATTAACTCAAATTACAAAGAGTTGTAAACCCACTACTAGTATTAAGGTGAACCTAAAAGGTCACACCTATTATGAACAAAGGTGAAAATTGTATTTCTAAAGAGTTAGAATTAATTGACATAATCTAATTTGATTAGATATCAATTAAAAGGAATATATTAATCAATAAGATTGATTAATTACATTTTGGATATTACTTTAGTAATTAAGGTAATTACTAAATTAATATGTTGGAATTAAAATTGGATTTTAAATTTCCAAACCAAAATAATAATAATATGATTATTATAATATGGATGTAAATTGGGAAAATGAATATAATAATAAAGTCTTGAAAAGATTCTCAAGATTTATTATTCTATTATTATTTTTATCTTTAAATATGATTTAAGGATTAAAATAATAAATATGATTATAAGAAAATGGTGGTTAAAGGTGGTCTGAACCACTTAACATTATTTATTATTTTCAAAGTCAATAGTTAGTAAATTCAAAGTCAATAGTTAGTAAATATTATTTAAATAAAATCTGATTTTATTTAAATATTACTAAATGTTGATTATTTTATGCTAAAATGTTTAGTATAAATAGATGCAAAATGGTTTTGCATTTAAGGTGAATTCATTCCTAAAATTTCTAAGTGTTAGAAAGAAGAATAGTTCTTCATAAACATCAAGAAAGAGTTCTTGAAATTTCCCAAAATAAAATTCATACATATTCCTATACAAGAAAACCGAGACATTCCTACTAGCGAAGGAACGTCGTCGGAACCGGGCTTCATAGGGTGGATACGTTTAGAGGGAAGACACTTGGATTCCTAAAGTGAGTAACCTCAATCCGTTGAAGTTATCAAACAGGGAACCGATTCCCACAATCCACATCGTCGTTGAAGGAGTTCAAGACATACGGTAAATATTTGTACTGGTACTTAATTTTATATAACAAATAAAAATTTGTATATGATGCATGTTTTAAAGATGACGATCAGTTAATTCGCAATTAGTATGTACGGGTGTTGTATTTATACGATAAATACTTACTTTGAAAAATTTTAAATTCCGCTGCTTAAAGCCCGTACGGTACTAGCGAACCCAACAGTTATGACATTATTCAATTCATTATATTGCACTGTGGGAGAGTCTGGTCTGAGCACATACAAACTGCTAACTAATGATCCACAACATATGAAATGATTTTCAAAACGAATAATAACCATATCATCAAACTAAACTGAAAAACCATCCATAACGAGTTTAGAAACTGAAACAATATTTTTTCTAAAACTAGGAACATAAAGACAATTTCTCAAAACCAAACTACTACTATCAAACGATAAAGTAACGTCTCCCACTGCAACAACCGCCACTTTTGTAGCATTGCCCATGTAGACGTGATCTCTCCCTCCATATGCCACTTGGTTTCCTGGAACCCCTGCAAAGAGTTGCAGACATGATCAGTGGCTCCAGTATCTATATACCAGGTTCTGGTAGATACAACTGCTAAACATGTTTCTACGACATTAACGAGGGAGTTACCTTTCTTGAGGAGAGGGCAGTCGACCTTCCAGTGTCCTGATTTATTGCACTTGTGGCATCTTCCTTTCGGTTTCTTTGCCACAGCCTGAGGGGCCGGTCGTGGGTAAATCGGAGCATCCTGTGCCTTCGCCTTTCCTGCAGACTTCTTTCTCTTCCTGCCCTTGTGAGGCCTGGAAGGTCCAGCCTGCTCGGCGACTAGCACCTGAGGTGCTTGAGTGAATAAGGCCTCCGCCGACTGAAGCTCTGCAAACAGTTCTGGAAGAGCCATATGCATCTTGTGCATGTTGTAGTTCAACCGGAACTGATCAAAGCTCTTCGCCAGAGATTGGAGCATAATATCAACTTGGGTTTCCTCGTCAATATAACCTCCCATAACCTCAAGCTCATTGAGCTGCGCCATAACCCTGAGGGTGTGCTCCCTCACGGGTGTCCCCTCGGCCATGCACGATTAGTTACCTGAGAAAAGGTGTCGTGACAGCCGGCACGATTAGCTACCTGAGATCTCAAAGTGTGGTAACTATAAGTTATATGTGGTTGAACTTGTTTAGGACCGCAGGCACGATTAACTACCTGAGAAAAGTTGTCGTGACGGCCGACACTGTTAGTCGGAAGGGTCAAGCGAGCTAACAATTCTATTGTTTGGAGATGACCATTGAGATAGGGTTATTCCTAGCAGTGATGCCAATGTTCGATTCCTTTGGGAAATTTTTGTCAAACCCAAACCTTGGTAGTTTTGGAAGCCTTATGGAAAAATCTTTTTTCCTATCTGGGTACCTAGGAGTTTGTGAACCAGGAAATTGAAAATTTCTGGTATGTACTTTGAATTGAACGCCGAACCTAGATGGGTGTAGCCACGCGAAGTGGTGGCCGAGCCCGCACGCTCGTGCTGAGAGACATGAGGCCAACTGCAGTGGCAGACCATTGACTCGCACGAGCTGCCGCCGCCATCACCGAACGCAGGAACTCCCCAGGCTAGTGTGTACGACCAAACCTTGACCTTGCAGCTGGTCTCCGACCAGGTGCACGCACGCGTCCCAGCGCCCCGCTTATGCAGAGCCAGTGTGTGTCATCTCTCGGGTGACAGTGCATTAAATTCCGAATTGACTATGTTCTTTTGGGTCGGTAAACCAATATTCTTTGTCATGTATGAATTCCTTAATCAACAACTCTCGATATGTGAGGCTTGTCGATTAGTTTTCCTTTGCCTCATGCGAGATTCTCTTGAGATAGCGAGATATAGGTCCCGCATCGTTTCAGGGCAGTGTCTCGAGTCTCGATTGGAGACAATGTATACTTCGTAGGGATTGAGACCTACGAAAAGTGAGAGGGTATTGGTGTTAGATCGTTAGTATGAAATATCGAGCATCCCTAATCGTGAGATAAATTATGCGATAGAAGATTGTTTTCGAACATCTAGTCGATACTTCCTAAACTGCATACGAGGTGTTGCTCGTGTCGCTAGGGAAGGAGGCATTGTCAGCGGTATCGTACGGAGCCATGTGCTCTGAAGGTACCGGTATTGGGGATATAGTGATATTGATTGTTAGCCCGATTGTATGGGATTCCGTGGCGGCCTGTTTTATAAGGATGCACGGATCATGTCGATGTAATGATCGAGTTTTCAAGCGTGACTCGGGCACGAGATTAAAGCTCGATGCCACCATTTAACCCTATGGTTAGTCTACCGGAGCATACTATCAAGACACGTAAGGACCGGTTAGGGTCTTGTGTATTGATAGATGAGTAGGGTGTGATTCGGTTCGGGAAGAAAGAAAGCTTCAGCCTCACTATATCGGACCCTTTGAGATCCTTGCTCGAGTCGGGGACTTAGCTTATCAGTTGGCTTTACCACCGGGTTTGTCAGGAGTGCATGATGTATTTCATGTCTCGATGTTGCGTAGATACGTATATGATCCTGACCACGTGGTGGACTTTGGCGAGCTGCAGGCCGAGCGAGACCTTACCTATGAGGAGGTACCGGTTGCCATTTTGGACCAGAAGGTCCATCAGTTGAGGAACCGAGCGGTGAGTCTTGTCAAGGTGCTGTGGAGCCGACATGGCGAGTCCGAGGTGACTTGGGAGAAGGAGGCCGAGATTAGGAGGAGATACCCGAACTTCTCGTTTTGAGTCCCTTGTATTTTTCTTTTCGTTTTTGTATTCTTTATTTTCGAATTCCGAGGACAGAATTCTTTGTAAGGTGGGCAAACTGTAGCGCCCCGTTTATTTATGAATAATTTTGGGATTATTTATTATTATTATTATTATTATTATTTATTGTTTATTATTATTATTATTATTATTATTATTATTATTATTATTATTATTATTATTATTATTATTAAATGCCTAATTGTCTCTAAACGTCTAGATGTTATTACTATTAATTAATTAAATTGTGTGTATATATATATATGTATATATATAAATAATATCCGATTTTATTTTTAAGTGTCGAGCGATCGAACCGAGCCATTTTTATTTGCTAAGTTGAGCCCGTATGAACCGGCCTGAGCTGCTTTGAACCGGTCTAACCAGCGCCCTGAACCGCCTGAAAACCCGACCCGGTTTTTCCCCCTAAATCATGTGTGTGTGTGTCTTGTGGTGAAAGAGAAAATAAAACCTAACCTATATATTATCATTCTCTCTCGCTCGATCAGAAATCACACATCCGCAGCCTTATTCTCTCATCAACAACATGCCTTCAGCACTCATCTCACCCTCCCGTTTTATTTCGCCTTAGCCCCCAATCTGCTCATTTTTCCGATCACCACCACCCTCGCTCTCTCCCTCTCGCTAGCAAATCCGATTGCCGTCATCAATCCCAACCTTCATCTCTCACTATTCTTCATCAACGAGCGGTACCCTCTTCCCCGTCCACCCTCACAGCCGCATCACCTCTGGTCAAGCCTCGCCGGACCGCCACCGTCGACCGAAGATTTTGTCGCCTAGAGACCCGGAGCCACCGCGTGAGGAGCAGTTTCACGCTCGAACAGCCGCGTGAAGCCATCTCAGACCGTGAGCGGAAGCCCATTCAATCTAAACGCACCTCGTCAGTCCATGTTCATGGCGAGCAGATCCCAGCCGACGCCTGCGATTCACCTCAGCAGTGAGTTTCCACCGCGGCCAGCACATCGCCATCGCCGGAGAAGCAACTTCAGTCCAATAACCACAGTAAGCTCCGTTGACTTTGCATCGGGGACTTTTCCAACGGGTTCATCGTCAAGTATCCGAAATCCTTCAGCCCTTGTTCGCCGAGAAACTCAAGGTCGGGCCCGTTCACGTCTGCAGCCCGTACCTCCGCTGAAGAGAAGTAGCAGTAGAAACACGTTGGCCTTGTTCAACGCATCGGAGGTCTCGTCACCCCCGTCAGCCTTCATTTGGCACCCCGAATAGATAGCGGCAGTCCCGTTCATGTCCTAGCAGCAGGGTCAAGCACTTCTCGGCGAGACGCGAGTGCGTAGTAACAGCCCCTCCCGATCAGCGGGGCCAAAACGAGATCGAGCGTGTCGAGCCAAAGTTCAAAGTCCCGTTTTTCAAGTGTGTTCCCGGGAACGGTACAAAGGCTTGAACCCCGTCTCTTTTTATTTCGTGATGTATATTATTGAGAATTGTTGTATGTTATCAAATCAAAAACATGTAATAATTCAAGTGGAAATCATAAGAGTTTACTTTCGTATCGTTTTCAATAAGACCGAGTTGGACCTCGGACAACGTGTTTGTGATATATTGAATGTTTAAGTCTTAAAGTAATGATATCGAGGCTTGCTTAACGTGTAATTTACGTGATTTCGGGGCTATGTGTTGTATGATTGTTTTGAGTTGTTAAAGGCATGAAAAACCCGAATTTCGAGCCTCAGTTGTGCTCTATTTTTGTCAACCAAGAAGCTATTCCTTGGACAAGTGTTCTTCTTGAGTTTTGTAGTTCTTTGAGTTAGGTTTCAGTGGGTTTCGGAATTTTGTGATTTGGAGTTGAAATGGATTTTATATGAATTTTTAAATTTAGACAAACATGCAGCTTTTATAAACTCGGACAGAAACTTTGACCTTAGTTCATGGCTGTTTTTGATAATCTTAACGTGCCTGTATTGTAACGCCCCAGTCCATTTTTAAAGAAAATCCATGGCTTTTTCAAAAATCAAGGTAAAATTTTCGAAATTCATTTTTCGAATCATAAACATTTTTGGCGTTACTTATTTATTTCAAACTTAGTTCAAGTCGTGTCTGAACTACGGGGATTCATTACCCGATTTTCAACGGTTTTCATTAACCACATAAACAATAAACATAAACGTCATGATATCCTTAACCACATACTCACAGGTACCAAAGATAGGTTTTTCAACATAAACCAATCCAACGGTTTTCATAATAACCAATTCAACATGTTCAACAATTCAATCTACATGTTTAAATAACCCAAACACGAGGTTCGTAAATTCGAAAGCAAATAAAAATAAACAAACTATAGACCACCCACTCGCCTTGCCTCGTCATCCGCCAACTGCTTAACCTGCATCCATTAAGTGCAGGTGGGAGTGAGCATAGAATGAAAATAATGTTCACTACTATGCAAATGCGCATTTATAACAATAAAAGGTATGGTCGCAGCATGAACATCAACAATAACAACATGTCTCGTCTCCTACATAATATCACATCAATATGTATTACTCCTGTGTACACATCTTTCATTAGTCGCGGAAAGGGGATTCATTACCTAACAGCGAGAGTACGTGCCACGCAAGGACACGACCTTTCATTAGGTCTTAAAGAGACTTGCCTCGCAATGGGCAACCGTATTACATCGACGGGGACAACCGTACCGACGGTCGTAACAGCTCACATCGATAGGCTACGTGTTCACATGCATACATAGATCATACCAAATTTTCAAACACATTTAAACAAGCATATGCATTGACTTTTTAGAATAACTAACCCACCTGGATTCCAGATTGACAACAGCAAAAACAGTAGGGACGTAGGTCGAGGCAGGCCTGACTCCTCAAACACCTACATTAAGTCAAGATCCTACAATCAATATCTTGACTTAAATAGAAAACACAATTCAGACTTAGTCGAACTTGATTCGACTAAGTTGTTCGTGAAGTCCTGTGGACGTTGGAACACTTAGACTCGGCACTATACTCAGCCAAATCACATATGGGAGTTCACATAAATCCAACTAAGGATTGACAAACACACAAAGAAACGGAAGGCGAGTCGATTTACAGTTTTTAACACATAACCCATATTTTGAAAATACTACCCAATAATCACATAAACTAGTTGGTCAGGTTTCCCTATGAATTAGACTCTGAAAGTTTAACACAAAATTCACCTCCCAGTACTTAGAAAAACAACCAAGTTTCAACCCCAAATTCAAAGAACATGATTTTATAGAATTCGAGCAAGTTTTCAACAAAAACGAGCACAAATTTATAACCTAACATAATGAACGATTCAGCCTCTGAAATTTTTATCCAAGGAACCTCAGCATGTGAATAACAATATGTAAAAATCTCAGCTGTAAACGCTTAGCATGCGAATTAACAAAATTGTAACAACATTCAGCAGATTTTGAGTTTTCATCAGAACTGAACCTAAATGAACTCTAAAAATTCTAATATTTTTACAGGATGAAATACATCGCAAAATAAGCACTTCAACCAAAAATTAGATTTTTTCAGCATCAGATCAATTTTTCATAATTAAAACAATTTTCTGCAGAATCACAAAATAAATTATTTACCTAAGCTAACAGAGTCCAAAAATTATGAAAATTTTACACAACAAGTAAACATGCCAGAGACACAATTTATATACATTTAACACAAATTTGGCCAGAAAATAATTTAATTAATTAAATTAGCTACATGCCGAGACAAATTATGAAATTTTTACACGAGCCTTATATTGATCAGAGGACATATCACATAAAATTTCAAGGCAATCCGAGCAGTACACAATTTTTAACGAATTTAATGCTAAAACAGCAAGTTTACGGGTTCAACAATTTCACATATGACTCATAACACATAATTCTCGTCCGAGGCCTTCCCATAAGGCCAAGGACTCGACATGGTTCCATAATCCATAGCCTTACACGCGTTTCGAGGTCTCACTCGATTTCTCAAAATCGAAGAGGTCCACAAAACACAATCAACACATTGAGTCGAATTTTTCACATAACATCATAACGTGTATATTAAAGCATGCTCAACACGTCAAATAAACACATAACATAAACAATATACACGATTATCGAGACGGGGTTCAACTAGGTACTATTCTCGAGAAAAGCTCGGAAAAATGGAACAAGGAGGCTAGTGGCGAGCTCGCGGTGGCTAGCGGCGGTGCTCAGCGGCTGCGCTCGACTCGCGAAGGAGGTGCAGCGACGAGTCTGGGGTCTGCTGGGGTGCTGCACATGTGGAAGGGGGCTCGTCGTGAGTCTGGTGGTCGTGGCAGAGGCTTGGCGACGTCGGAGGCGGTCGCCGGCGACTTCTGTGTGCGGAGGTCGCGAAGGTGCAGCGGCTGATGTCGGGTTGCAGGGGTCTGCCGGCTTGCTGTGAAGGAGCGGCGACAGAGTGCTCGCGGGAAGGAGCAGACGGTGGAGAGGCGCTGCGAGGACTCACCGGAGTTGCAGACGCACGGCGAGGAGGATTCACTGGAGAGGCTGGTCGCGTCTGCGTCTGCGAGGGGATTGATGAGAGAGGACAGGCGGCGATCAGAGGTTCTCTGCTTGTTCCTTGCGCGCGAACAAGGGTCACGCCGGGGCTATTCACGACTAGTGAAAGCTCGCCGGAGGGAGATGATGATGGCGGCAAAAATCTAATTTCTGCTCCTTGCGCGCGATTGAGAAAAAGAAACAACGGGGCGACGAGATTTGTCTTTCTCTTTTTCTGCTCTGCGCGATCGAGACAAGAGAGAAGAGAGAGGGAGGAGATTTGAGAGATTTCTCTCTTCTGTAAAAAATGCGAGAAGGAGGCGATGAGAGGGAGGGTTGCGGGCGTAAGATTGAGCGAGAGAGGAGATGAGCGGATATAAATTAGACTAGGTTTTTGTGTTTTGCTCATCAAGTCACACACACACACACGCGCGCGTGAGAGAGAGTGAGAGAGAGAGAGAGCGGACCGGGTCGGTCGGTTCGGGCTGGGGCGCGGTTTAAATAGGCGCGCGGACCGGGTCGCGGGTCCAGTTCTATCGGGCTCGACATGGCCAAATTAATAATTCGGTTCGATCGCACGAAACAAAAATGAAACCGAATAATATGTATATATATATATTTACATATTACACACATTAATTAATTTTTAATAATAAACACTTAGACAAATGACAATTAATTATTCAATAAATAATAATAATAATAATAATAATAATAATAATAATAATAATAATAATAATCCCAAATAATAGTAAACAAACGGGTTTGCGAGTCGGCCGGTTTCAACTACCGGTTTATCGGGCTCAACTTCATAAAATCCGAATATATATAACGCTCGGAAAAATAAAATATGACCACCCGTAAATTTAAATTTACAAACCGACATAATATATATTTATTAGCACACAATAATAAATATATTATCCAGAAATTATTTCACTTTGGAAAAAATTATAATAATATTAATAATGCCAAAATATCCGGAAAAATCAATTATTCAAACGGATTATATTCGATTCACGTGATGAAACCGAAATTGCCGAACGACGAACGTTTTTCAATAAAACGATCGAGTACTCCAACATTTTATTCAAGTCGACATCGCGACCAATAAAAATAAATATAACCTTATAAATTATATTCGATAAATAGAATAATTCGAAAAATTCTATAAATCGAACGGGGCGCTACATGTATGAAAATGCATTCTTCATGACAAATGTAGTGTATGATGTAAGTTGCCTGTAGGAATTGGAATTATGCAATTTGGAGTTATAGTTGATTTTATATAATTTTTCTAAGTGGGATGTGCACCCAATTTTTATAAAATCAGGATTTTGTTTAAGTGTTGAATGTGTGCTCTGTTTAGATGACTCAAATGTGTTCTTATGGGAAAGTTCTCTTCATGAAAATTGTATATTTTCATGTGTAGATTCTGTAGGCTTTGAGTTTTATGAATTGGAGTTTTGTATCTTGAGTTGTTGCCATTTTACTAAGGTGTTGTATATTCGAAAAGTTGTTCTCTGGCTGTTTTTATAAACTGAATGTTTTGTGTTTAACCTCGATGATAATGTCATAATTTTCCAATGGGATCTTCAAATAGCTACCTTGGAGTTTTTGAATTTCAGTAATATCATGTCTGTAGCTTCGGTTATTCTGCAAACATTGAGTACCTGTCAAGCTGTATGTCTTCATTTATCCACTGCACCTATGTTTTGGATGTTTG